TATCAATAAAACTATGGGTTTGCCTATTCTGTTATCAAAAACCTCACTTAAGATGTCACTTTTGTCTTATATTTCCAATGCATTGGAAATTTACATTCATCTGCTGATTTCAAATTCTGCCAATTTTATTTTCCCAATGCTTCATCATAATCTATCTTAAAATATTGGTCAAGATATTGTGTTTTCAAAACGATTATTCTTGAGAATAAGCTACGAGTTTTAACAAATTCTTTTGCAGTTGTTTATCTTTTCGAATCTCTTACATCTTTATCGTCCTTTCTCACTTGAAATTGGATATGTTAATTCAAATTGTTTAGGTTTGTTTTCATTGAAAAGATTGAAGATGTAATTCTTTGTGCAGAGATGTTAGCACCAACTGCCCTGGAATTTGAAAAAGCTAGACGAATCAAATAAGAGGAAATGATCTGTGCCTATAATTTATGGGATGATCCTGCTAAATCCAATGAAATACATGTCAAGTTAGTTGGTAGTGCCAAAGTGGTTGATGCTCTCAAGGACCTAAAATACAAGGTATTTATTTATTTTTATTTTTATTTTTTTGAGATTAGTTTTAGTTGAGCTTTCTTATAACATATGCTAATTTCATTTCATAGAAATGAGCACATGGAGTCTTGACCTGTATTGGATTTGTAGGCTAGAGTAGCATGACAAAGGTTTGACCTATAGCTTTCAAGGCATAGCATCATTTGCTAAGATAATTGAGATTTTAGAAAGGTTTAGTGTTATTTGGTTTAGCTAGATGATACCCACATGAATAGTTGTATTTGCATACCACCTTTGTTTTAATTTATTAGAATCTAAATATACTTCTAAATGCATATTAGTTGTACCATTATAATATTCAATTCATAACAAAGTTAGAGACAAAGGGATTCTTCAATATGATTCAGTTCATTAGTCTTGATTGAGTTTATATAGAAAATTAGGAGCTTTGTTTATTGAATCTGGTTAGTTTATAACAAAATGTTCAAATGTGTCTTTGACATCTCCCTAATTTTGGGTTTTTTCTGGCAATGGCTGGTGGTAAAAGGGTTTATCTAGCTTTTAGCGTTTTTAATGTTACAAAATTACTTCACGCAAAATGGTTAATTGGTTTTAGCTTTGATGCTTCCAGCTTTCCATTTTTTTCAGCAATTATTTTACTTTCTTCATCAATTTGTTACATGGTTTGTAAAGAAATGGTGAAGCTATCATGAAGCTATCATGGTATGAAAGTGACATCTTATGTAGCATCATTAGTTTAACATGAAGAAATCCCCAAAGATTAACCCTTGAAATATGCATTAGCTCTGGCTTTAGCTTTCTACTTATACAATTATTATCTTATGCGCAAGACAAATTAGTTAATTATAACTGTTTTTGAATGATTTTCACACTATCCTAACAGTTGATATATGGGATGGACTTTTTAAAAAAAAATTTAATTGTAATATTTGGTATGTAATAAGGTTTGTTCTCCATTTTTTGTAACAATTGCTCTGAAAGAATGCAAATTTGTGTAGACATGCAAGAAGTTAACAAATCAAACTGGTTGGTGGAGAGCTTTCAGTTATAATTGTTATTGATATAAAGCTATAGGTGATGCACGCTAAAGTTGTTGAAAAGTTTGTATGTTGCTACAATTAAATAATACTTGTTGGTGATACTGCTCATTGACTCCCTTGTACTTGTGGTTTTGGTTAGTAACTCTGTTTTTCTGAGCAAA